TCAACGCAGTTTACAATTTCTCAACCAGGAATCGAAGGATTTGTGAATCTAAACAATGTCAGAGTTCTACAGTTCAACCCTCCACAGGTAAAAGTTATCTTATTACAGTGGTTTGTAAATAGGCAGTTAAGTCGCTGAGGGGGAATTTAGCAATTTTGAACATCTCTGAGGATTACTGGCTATAAAAAATAATTTCTTTTAGGTTTCCGTGGTCAATTTCCTTCCGCCTCGTTATGTTGTCTTTGGCTTGGAAAATATGGATATCTGGTGAGTTATGCATTATTCTCCGCGAAAAGTTGCGTTTCACAAAAACAGATTGCGCACTGATTTATTCAATGACCTCGATTCCAAATGCGCTAAGTGTAATTGTGTAGAAAATGTGTTGCAATGCAGGCTGAATGGAGCGTTTTACGGGAACGGTGGACCTATCCAAGTCGAGGGATTCGTTGATGGGAGCATTATTGGCATGACTGTAGCGCTGACAGCAGAGTTTGCAAGCACCGACGAAGGACTGATGAGTGTTCAGGTAAGAAATGAGAACACTGGAAAAAACTGAACGAGCGACAAGCAATTTCTCATTACTGTGAAAGTTACTAATTGGACTTAAGTGTATACTCTATTTCACAAAACCCCAATTGATTTGTTAGAAATGAGCATGGTCTAATTTATATAGAATTCTTTTGGCAGCCATTTGCAGCTACCACATTTCTCGCGCACAAAATTTTTGAAGAACTATACAAAGTTGAGATGGTGTTACCTTCTGAAAGGACAGAATATTTATGTGTTTTTGTCTGGTGAGATCCTTTCCTAGCCATTCAGAATGTGAAACCTGCGAGTTCTGCTAGTGAGAAGAACATAGAAACGCTGAAAACCCTAAGTGCCCATCTCTTTCCCACAAACATATAGGAAGTTGTTCAATAGTTTTCTAAACTACTCGTTGCTGATTCGAGTATTGCTTTCTTTACATTATTTTTATATACGAGCTGGTTCTCGGGTTTCATCCTAGTTTGGAACCAATTCACCGTGCTTGACCTCTCATGTAGCGAAAGTTACCCTTCCACTGATTCCGACACGTCTTGGGTTCGCTACCGTTCTTACCTGTATCTTGATGACCAGCAAATAAAGTGGAGCTTCACCGCTCATCGTTCATGACTGTGGGATTGTGCACAAACACACAAAGTTTCTGCTTTATATATATA